ATTTAAATCTTACGTACAAAAAGTTCTCATTCCATGATCTGTCCTCTCTAGCCAAGCAGTTTCTCTCAGGAGTTAGGCTCTAGCAGTGTCAAAATTTTTAAGTTCTCTGTTTTGTGCTTTCTGAATATCCAACTGTTGGACATACACTTCAATCAACTCCAAATTCCCACTTGATCTGAGATTCAATCAGGACCATTGATTCACCAGCCATTGATCATTAAGGGACTTGGACTAGTGACATTCAGACTCTCTCTGGACTCAATTAATATGAATATTACAAACTGAGTCTGTTCCTAGGAGATGGATAGACTGAATTTTTGTAAGCATTTCAGAGTCAGCCACTTTGTTGGTGTAGGTTGTAACATTTCATTCCATTCTATTTGTTCATTCAAAAAAGTCTTTTAGTTCAGTCCTCTTTTTTGTTGAAGAGCTAAATTCATTAAATATATTAATAACAATAGATTCTATATCAATATTCAAACAATTGCAAGCTTTCTTAGCAATGTTATGCAGAATGTACAAATTGCAACCAGCAGGAAATATATTTTCATTAAATTTTTTTAATGTTACAAAAATGTTATTTTTATTGCCAAAAATTAATATTGGTATTAGTAGCTCCATATGCAGTAATGTTTTTGGGAGCTAATTCATTAAATGTAAGCTGTTGGATGAGTGCATTTGAAATAGTTTCAGTATCTCCTGCTTCTAATGAAATGAATATCAAACCAGTTTTTACACTATGGTTTTGGTCAAAATATCTTACAACCAAAGGAAAAGTTTTTATGTTTCCTTTATTACAAGCATCCATGCTTATAGAAAAAGGTTTACTATTCTCCAGTTGTTTCAATATGTAATTTTTTGATTGCTTTCCAAGAATTTTTGTAATAATGGCAGAAACTTTTGTTTTACCACAAGAATATTTTGCTGCAATTCCAGAGTCGGGAAACATTTTTTTAAAAATTGAGCTAGCACAACCAGCTGAGATATAACTATGAGAATGCATAACAGAATGGTAACAAAATTATACTTCTGCAAAAGTAATATCTTCATGACCCTTGCTTTGCTTTGGTATAAAAAACAGAAATTTTTGCTATTGCTTGAACATTTGCAATGTGGATTTTAGATGCAAATGTCTACTTACGTTGCTTTCACCACCATGACTAATTGTGAAAATGAAATTGTTGAATGTAGAGCATTTTGCACTATGATCATCTCTACTGCAACTAATCCAACTATACTTTTTTCCCCAATCTCCATTATAGTGAACCAAGCATCTTCTTTTCTTTACTGGAATTTTTAAACCATTTTCACCATCTGACATTTGAGAATGAATAAAATTCTGTAAGCCATATAGAAGTGACTTCACTAACACTCTGCTTCAATTATAGTAAATATTTTGTTACTTTAATTTAGTGGTTAATTTGTTGATATTTGAATATGGTGCCAAGTTTTATTTAATTACTTAGAGTAAACTTTATTGAATTTGACATTAAAAATTAATTTTTTTCTCATTATTTAACATTTTTAGAGTGAGGTCTGTATTTTAATTTAAAAAATGATACAAACACACCTTTCATACATTTCCAGCATTACTTTATACATCAAACAAACATTTTTGGCCCACTTTACAGGCCTGTCTCAGATAAGAAGCCATTCCAAAGGTGAAGGAGTTATATTGAATTCTAAAGATGAACAATTCAAATATTCTGTGATGCTATTTAAAAGTACATTAGAAAATAGTATAAAATAAATTATAATTAATATTAAACATATAGAAGTGGACAGTTAATGAAATATTGTTTGTTAGAAGTATGTTGTAGAGAGCAAAGCTTGTGATATGTTAATGCTTTCTCTATTGTTAATGCAAACCCTTGGCTTGCTGCCTTATAGATGTCATTGGCTTCAATTATTCCTAATTTTTGTACCTCAAATATTTTTCTTAACAATTTGGCTTCTCCTCAACAGGGCTGTTGAGTTGGAGTCGGAAAAAATATGTCGATTCCAACTCCCGCATTTTAAATTTACTTTAGTTTTTTTTATTTAAATGAAAGAAAATTTATTATACATTTATTAATTTTTAAAAATTTTTTTATATTTTGTAATACAGTTGACCCCCCTATAACACTGTTGATTATTCCGTTTTATATGAATTCCATGTTGTATGAGTCACTAAGATTTTACAAATACGTGAGCCGTTCACAGCCCAGCACACGTATTTGTAAAATCTAAGTGACTCGTACAACATGGAATTCATATAAAATGGAATAATCAACAGTGTTATAGGGGGGTCGACTTTTAATTCATTTATTTTAAATACAAAATTCATCAATTTAATTTATTAAATATGTAGTGTTTTTTGTAGTATTTGTGTTTAGTAGTAAAATTATTTTGATACTATTGAATTTAAATATTTTGGATCATTCCTTTATTATCCCTGCTCTAAATAAGTACTCTATTTTTCTGAATGAGCCAGACTAATTGATCAGAGTTCATATTTTTCTTTTCTGAACAAGGGGCTGAAGTAGCTAGATCACACACTTTTTAATTGAACTAATCTTCTGGAAGGGTAAAATTGAAGTGCAAATGATGTCGAATATATGGAGATGTAGAATTTTATCGCCCGCTTTCTCTTATTAAATATTTGTTAAAAATTAATTTTTTTTATACAAATAAATATTAAAAATACTAATTACGAGAGCAGTTTTTTCAAGCTCTGATGGTCCATAAAACAAAGACAAGTGTAAATAAGAAAATGAATTTAATACCAAAAGTTAGGTACAAACATTGTTATTTTTCGACATAATCACTGTGAAGATTGGGGCATTTGTCATATCTGTGGATGAGCTTTTCCATCCCCTTGTCATAGAATGTTGCCTCCAGTGAATTTATATGGCCTTAACAATGTTGTTTTGAAAATTGTCATTAATTGATTAGTCTCAAACCACTGCCCTGCTAGCCACGTTTTCAGTTCAGAAAAAAAGTGGAAGTTTTCAACATCTTTAAACACCTAGTGTATAACCCCAATTTAGTGCCAAGTGACTTCCACCTCTTTCCTGAACAGGAAAAGTCTCTAGGAGGGCAGAGGTTCAACACTAATGACGATCTTCAGAACAACGTTGTTAAGGCCATCTCAATTCACTGGCAACAGCATTCTATTACAAGGGGATGGAAAAGCTCATCCACAGATATAACAAATTTCTCAATCTTCACAGTGATTATGTCGAAAAGTAACCATGTCTATACCTAACTTTTGGTAATAAATTCATTTTGTTATTTACACTTGTCTTTGTTTTATGGACCATCGGAGCTTGAAAAACAGCCTACATATAAAAGTATTTGGGTAAATGCTCAGAGCTCCTTTTAGAGTTCAGAGTAGGATACCCCTATGAGTGCCTCTTCCCCCATAAAATGACTTGGTATTTAATTTTGCCGGAATTGGAGTTGGCCTACTAAAATTATCGGGAGTCGGAGTCGAGTGTTTTTTTACCAACTCTGCAGCCCTGCTCCTCAACACTGGGACATCCAAGGCTGCTTGCATATTGAGCTAAGGCAATGTAGTAATTGCCTTTAAGGATGTCATGCTATCAATTAGTCTGTTAGTTGATACTATTAAGGCTAATTAGGTATCTGCTAAATTTACAATTTTCTAGAGTTATAGTATATACTCCAGGGTTTTTTCTCATTTATTTGATTTTTTCCACTGGTTAACAATCTGTATATTGTTGAATAATCATTTAGTTTGTGATAAACTCTTGTGAGTATTTTGTTTTTAGAGAGTTCTATTTCTAAGTATAGATAGGGTTTAGCTAGACCTAGAAATAGAACTCTCTAAAAAGAAAATACAAGAGTTATTCACAAACCAGATGGTTATCCAACAATATTCAGGTTGTTAACCAGTGGAAAAGATCAAGTAAATGAGAAAAAAGCTCTGAGGTATATACTATACCTCTAGAAAATCGTAGATTTAGCAGATACCTAATCTTTATAGGCACACTAACAGACTGATAGAGGCAGATTAAAAGAATAGAAGTATGACATCTTTAAAGGCAATTAAGACATTGCCTTAACTCAATATGCAAGTAAGCATTGAGTGTCCCTGTGTTGGGGAGAAGCCAAATTGTTAAGAAAAATATTTGAGGTACAAAAATTACAAATAATTGAAGCCATTGACATCTGTACGGCAGCAAGCCAAGAACTGGCATTAACATATCACAAACTTCGCAAGATTTGCTCTCTAAACATACTTCTAACAAACAATAATATTGGCTAGATGGCCGAGCAGTCAAGGTGACAGCCTACTGCTCTGGAAGACCCAGGTTCAAATCTGAATGGGTCAAAAATATCCCCAGGAATCATTTGGGGGTGGTCTGTCCGGATATGTCGGGGCTCCATCCCTCACCACTGGGCCACCCCATTGTATGACCTGGCCATTGGTGTGTAAAGTTAATACTGCAAATGTACAGAAAGTGTGTTTGTATGATTTTATCCAAAAATTCCAGCTTTTAAAAGACAACTTTATTTAAAAAATGTCATATTACATTGAATAAATTAATTTATTGTATACCAGTGTTTTTCAACCTTGGGTTGCGACCCCCAGGGGGGTTGCAAAGCCTTACATGGGGGGTCATGGGTAAAAGAAAAAACAAGTCCTATTCTACAATAAAAAAACTACAATTTTAGTGAGAAGGCTGTGCCTGTTTATTTTACAGTACAATTGGTTTTTCGATCGATATTTAGGTCTCAACAGAAAGAAAATTAAATACGTAGTTTTTAAAATCACTAATATAGTTATAATATGGCCCTGGGGGGTCGCCAGAATTTTTTAACTTGTAAAGGGGTTGTGTATTCAAGAAGGTTGAAAAACACTGCTGTATACAAATAACTTTTTAATGGGTTTTAAAAGAAAGAAAACTATCTTATGATATTTATAATTGTATTTGTGTAATTTTTAAATTATTTGCAACTTTTTAAAAAATTTCTCTTTTTTTTTATATTTAAAGGACAGTCTCATAATTCAAGTCCAGGAATAGTTCGCTGTCCTGCTTTTGATTTCAGTGAGCAAGAAGATGAAATTTCAATTATTTCAAGTTCAAATGTGGTATGTTTAGCTAAGCATAAATTTACAATTTAATAGAATTTAATTTTAAAAATAATTAAAGGTAGATCTAGTGTATTCTATACCTGTTTTGTCTGTTATCTTTGCATTGACTAAAATATAGAAAACAATATTTGATCATATGTAATTTTATTTTTACATACAGGGGTGCAAAAGTAGTTATACAGTTAGAATTTGAGAAACAGGGATGTTTAGTGTTCATTATTATTATTTTTCTCTCTTATTATTTAATTGTATTCCTTATTTATGATTTAATTTATACATAAAAATAAAAATAAATGTTTTTTCTACATATTTTTTTCATAATAACAATTGTATACCTACCTTTGCATTTCCTGTATTTTTCTATATAAGAGGAATTAAAATTATATTAAAGTATTTTTCTATGTTATATTATTATCTTATATAGAAAGTATTTTTCTATATAAGAATTTTCAAAATGATAATATATATATATTATCATTTTGATAATTCAAGATATAATTTAGATCCATTATTCTCCAGTTGTTCCAGTAATTTTTGAGTGGTTTTTTTTAAGATGGTTCACAAATTATCAAACCATTGTCATTAGACAATGGTTTGATAATTTGTGAGGGTGTTTATTTCAAGTTTGTTTATTTTAAGGAATAGGCAAACTTTCTATTACTTTCCTGGCTGTTATGTATATATAACAAGAGAAAGTATTGGAATCATGTCAAATTTGACTTTCTGAGATTTTTGCAAATCTCCATGTTTTCAGGCCATCTGAATTCAAAAAAGTCAAAAACTGGCAAAAAATTTCCATATGTGTGTATGTTGGTGTTTATTTTGCTTAATATCTCAATGTGGTGAAGATAAAGTAACAGAATTTGGCAAGATGGTTTGTGTATGAGAAGCATTGATGCTTTTAAATTTTGGTGATTAAAGGTCGAGAGGGTGGGGAGATAGAGAGGGGGTCATGTCTCTTGAGAGGGCTAGGACTTAATGAAGATTTTATTTGTTATTAACATTTGTACTTTTTCATAAAATTGAAGCTGCATTTGTGGAAAATTTTTTAAGATATGTATGCAATAGTTTATGATAATACTTAGCTGTTGTATAAAAATACTAGCAAAGAATGTCCAACATTGCCCAAGAACTCAAGGAGGGGGTTGAATTGTTCGTATTATAGGTTAGTGGCAGAGTTCATATAGGCAGGGTGGCAGAGATAACTATGCAAAATTTAATGAAAATCAGTCAGAATTTGGCAATTTGTGGGGGATGAAATCGGGAAGGAGTGAATAGCCAAGTTTTAAAGTAGCATATATTTTTAGAGGATTGTAGAGACTAACTATGCAAAATTTGTCTAGATTTCTCAAAAGATTTGGGAGTAGGGGAATGAAATCAAAGAGAAGGACTGAGGGGTCTAGTTTTTATGGTAATCCATGTTTCTCATAGGGCACCTGAGAGTAACTATATGGAATTTCATCCAGATCAGTCAAAGGGTTTGGAAGTTTGTAAAGAATATGAAATCAACAGGAATGTCTGAGTGTCTAAGTTTTAAGAAAACTCAAATACTGTACATTGGAAGTAATAAACTTTCCAATGGTCCCTTGATGCAAATATATTTTGTGACAATTACGACTTTCTTTTAGGCATTTTATTATTAATAAGGCAACTCAATTTATGTAGATAGATATCCAATGTTGCCACTTTTTCAAAATTGCTGACCCAGACATTTTAAAACTAGGATGTTATACTGAGACATTCCCATTGTATGAAACCATACAGGCATGCGCAATGTCATTTTACAGCCAAAAAGTGAACATAAGATATCTAATAATGTAAGACTAATTCTTATTTTTAAATAATGGTTTGGTAGGATTAATACTAAAACAATGAGCAATTATTTATTGTGACATCGACACAATGCCGGGCTGCAATTTTTAATTTATTTCATTTAAAATATATGCTTTCCATCTCAAATTAGTAGTGATTTTCTCCTGTACATCATACTTTTTCTTTAACAATATAAGTCGTGTCGGTCATCTATCGAACACCTTTCACAGGAAAATTCTTGAAATAACATGACTTTCGGTTTGTATCGAAATTTCGTATACAGTTAATCGGGGCCTCCTGCCCCTACGGTTTCCATATCTGGTCTCCTCTTTCATTAGTCTATCTCCGTTCTCCAGATTAAGGAAAAACAATTAGACGGACGACAGTGGGAATGTATAGGTCTATGATTTTTTTCAAATTGTAGCGAATGAACATACAAAAATACTATTGGCCTACTTACAAAAGTTTAGTTTTATATAAGGGAAGTAAATTTGTTCATTATAGTTCTATCTGAAAGTTTTATTATTATAAGAAACGAACGACCAAGATACTAGAGAGGTTGCGGCCGACATTTCCATCGGGAAAACATGTACGTCGGACGTTCAGCGCCACATTCCTGTAAGCCTAGAAGTTTGACAATGGCGTTTGGAACGTCAGTAGGATCATGCTCGACATTCCAAACGCCATTGTCAAACTTCTAGGCTTACAGGAATGCGGTGCTGAACGTCCGTACACGTTTTTCCGAAGAAAACGTCGGCCGCAACCTATCTAATATAAACAAAGTATATAGACAACTATCCGAACTGCATGAATCAAAACTGAAAATATAAGATAACAAGTTTTAAAAAGCCCACCAGATGGCAAAGAGGATTGACCTTGAACAGAGCAGACAAACAACAATATGAGAGATATGACACAGTAAAAACATCATGTATTTTCCATTTTTAACATGAAAATACAATATATAGCCTATGTTCATCTGGAAGGAATAAACTTTTCAATAGCAAAACAATTTTAAAAATCAGTTCAGTAGATTCCAAGATTACCTCTAACAAACAAACATATTAGGATAAATAACTTGTGTTGACTTGACTTGGAGAAAATCATATATCATAAAAATATTTTATCTAGGCCATAAGCAGTTTGTCAGTTGGCACTCTGCCATTAAGGAATGAGTTCATTCCGAAATTTTGTGTATAAGTTAAATATCTGGCCAGTGCCGGCCCGAGGCAAGTTTTAGGATGGAGCGAGATCCTATTATGGCGCCCCTTTGGTCAGTAGAGTAGCGAACATAACTGGCGCTCGGGGCACGACACTTTATTGGCGCCCCCTCCAGAAACACATATAGTTCGTCTTGGAGACCATTTGGGCGCCCCTCTGCGAGTAGCGCCCAGTGCTTGATACACCCCCTTGCACCCCCTCGCTACGCCACTGCCCTTGGTTGCCCCAAATTTATACCCTTTAATTTTCTTTACCACTGAGGCGCCCCCTAGGACTTAGCTCCTGGAGCGGTTGCTCCTTTCGCCCTATGGTAGGGCCGGCTCTGTATCTGGCATATCATAGTTATACACATACAGTTTAGAACTGTAGTACAGAAAGCAGTGGGGTGGAATCGGTAAACAGATAATCGGACTCCGATAAATTTGAAATTTGCGACTCCCATTCCGATCTGTCCGTGTCATACTACGATTTTTTTTATAAGGAAGATACCACTAGTTATCTGAATATTTTTATCTAAAATTTCTGTATAAAAGTTGTATTAAAATTGATGGTGAGAATAAAACAATGGATATAACGAATTTATCTCGGAATAATTTTCGAGTACATAAAGAAATATGCATCTTAATCAACCAAAAAAATTTCACTTTTATTAGTTAATTATGAAAAATTGATTTAAATTTAATCATTTTAAAGAAAAAAAATTTAAGTACCATAAATAAATAAAACAACGATTTAATTAATGAATGATGTAATAAATTGGTTTGCAAAATAGTTTCTCTCACTTCCGCTACTAGAGAGTAGTTCATTTCTAGCCGACGCGTCGGACGTCGGTTGAAAATTAAAAAACTTTTTTCTGATACGTAGGTAAACACAACCTGCCCTTAAATACTTTAATATTTTTCTAACTACTGTTGTTGTCCTTTATGCGCTTGCTTGCTTTAATAGCCTGTTTAGACATTGTCTATGACTAGATTCTAAACCGCACACACTACATTTCATTTTATTTAACGTACAACGAGTTTCTCAATGTTCACAATATGATAAACAATGATAAATGCGCTAGTTTACTCTTCGGATCGGGCGAAAAAGCTGACGTTGCATATGCGCCAGGGTGCGAAAGAAATTGACATTAATGCCCGCTCAGGGTCTAGTCCAGGGGTGGCCAACAGTTTTTGCCCCCGGGCCGAATTGGAAAGAAAACTTTTTCCACGGCCAGAACCAGAGGCTGCCCTAGGAAGATTTTGAGGTGGTGCAGAGACTACAGTAAATTGTACATAGAGATTACAGATACATTTTTCACATTATCATACTTTATCAACATTCTAAGCTGTACTTACAAGATCTGTAATGGATGGTTAACTCTAAGCGCACAGTGAGTTGTTGACCTTTTTCTTTTTTTTTTGTTTTGTTTTTTAGGCGTCAGAATTTTTCATCGAGCTATTCGGACTTCAGTAGCTAATATTGAAAGATTGATCGCGGGAAACATAAATTCATTAGATGGGCCGGATCTGGTCCACGGGCCGCATGTTGGCCATGCCCGGTCTAGTTTCTAGACGTTTGTATTAAACTCAAGTATATTGTAGAATAGTTAACCCCTTAAGGACATTGAGATTTTTGATATTTTATAATCATTAATTTAATTAAATGTAAAAAATACTTAAAACTGAAAAAAACGAAAGAAATGCGTTTATTTTGAAGAAAAAGCTTTAAATTTTATTTTCCTTTGTCTCGTCTTTCTGTGAAATATAACACCGATGAGTCATTGTTTACACAGCTGGATGACCTTGAACACAGCTGGAGTCGGATTTCCCGGGACATTCTCAGAAATCTCGGGAGGCCATGGGTTTATAGTAGGGTGACTACAATTTGGCTGTATATTTTTAAATGTTTTTAAAAAATTAAAATTTTTATTGCGATTTCCGACCCCCCCGGCTTAATTAAACTTATATATAATAAAATCTATTAATTAAAAAAATTAAAAAAGTATCGGAGGTCGTTTTTGACATCAGAAAGCAGCTTTAAATAACTTTACCGAAGGAAAATCGGTGCACTACAACTTTAGAACGATAAATTAATTTTGATAAAAAACTCCCATTAAAAAAACATTAAGCCTTAATCGAGCCTTATCAAAGGCTCATTAAAATCGC